AATGACTCAGCCACCCAGGCGCCCCTAAAACTTTTTTTATTACACACACACACACACGTACTCCTGATCTTTACGAAAATGGTTTTTATTTCCACAAAAATAGAATCATACCGAAAACACTGTCCTGCAACTTGCTTTTTTCACTCATTTAGTGCTTTGCCAATAGTCTTCTATGTGATTACGCCCAGGAAAGGAATCTTTGAGAGTCTGCTGTATCTGGCCCACTTACTAGAATCATAAAAAGCAGGCTGATTTATGAATTTACCATTTCTTTTCCCATGCATACATACAGAAATGTGCAAATGCACCATTAGCGTTTTCTGATGAGACGTGTCATGTCTTACCTGAGGCGGCAATTTCTTCACCTCTTTTCATTCCCAATTTTTTATAAATTTCTCTCTCAGGATCAACATAGATTTCATGAGAATACCCAGTCAGTTTGCAGAAAGGCTAAAAAAAGATATTTGGATTTGTATAAGCAAAAATGAGAGAAAAGTAATGATAACCTACCTTTATTTTAGCAAATTTAACCTACACTTAGTGGTTCAAATAAATAATTATGTCTGAAATAGATTTAATTTGTTAGTTTCTCAATTGCTGATATATTTACCTCGATATGATGGTAGGATGACTGTCCAATCACTATTAGGGTGACATCTGCTTCCTTTAGGAGAAAAAAGGGACAGGTACATATTACCAGAAATTATATATATTTTATAAAACTTCCCCTTGTCCAACTCTTTTGTTCCATTCTAATGCCACCTATAGGCTTCTAGAAGAATGGAATAAACAGCAAAATTGTGAGTCAAAGCAAATGTATGCTAAAATGTTTGGTTAATTCAGTTGATCTCTTGCCAAGAACTTCAAAATAATGTAGTCAATAATTCTCAAAAAAATTCTCTATGCTCCCCCCAAAGGCGTACACTAAAAAAGAATAAAAAATATTGAAGTAGGGTTAATCAGTTTCATTTTTTCACATCCCAATTAATAACGCCTGATGAAAACAGATCTTAGTTTTACAAAGGTTGCCCAATTGCTTCACTCAAAAGCTCACGTGGGGACAAATGTATATGTGCCTGAAAAGAACATATGTATGTGGTTGTCACAGGAATGTGGAAGGCACATCCTAACAAATACAAATTTTAACCTTTAAGATATATTAGTATTTTCCTATAATGAACAACTATTTGGAGTGTTCTTATTAAAAAAAAATAAGGGAAATAAAATATTAATAATTTCTAGCATCCGTGCTTTTGGTCATTATCATTCAACATTTGCAAATAGGTTACTAACATTGAAATTATTATAGTTAGTACGTTTATAAGCAGGCAGTAGCGAATAAAGTAGGACAGAAATAGATCTCTAACGTCTCTCTCTTTTTTGAAGGTGTTGGAAGATGTGTGGGAAGGTGATAATCAGGGTTTGCGAGGGTCTGTTCTGGAGAGGAGTCGTACTCTGCACCTCATCCCACCGGGCTACTTAGAAATGACAGGTGACTTTCACAAGGTCGCCCTGAAGCAGGGCACGCTGCTGCTCACTCTCAGGAAACTTACTTGTAAAAAACTCTTGGGGATTTTGGCCAGATCTTCTACGTATTCCTTGCAAATGTAACACAGGAAATGCTGAAATCCGAACACGTCAAAAAGGACAAGTTAGCGACCAATACCCTCAGGGTTCAGAAAAGACCAAGTACTTCGTTACGCGTGACGCTAATTAATGCCACTCACAGCGGGTAGAAAAAGGCGCGAAGGGCGCCCGAGATGCGTTAAAACTGGGCCGCACCCACTCCCTTAGGCCTCCTCCTTTGCTGGGAAAATGGACTTGGCTTGGCGGGCTGTTTTTCCATTCCTATTAAAGGAAGCGAGAGGAGCTGTTCGCATTCCGGAAGCCTCTAGTGGACGGCAATGGGAAGGGCTAGGCCCAGCTGGACCGCACTCTCGGGTCTTGGGCCTTTCGAAGGACCCGATGTCCCCCCAGCCGAAGCTGTAGAAGCAACCTCCATCCCAGCCTGCCGTTAGAGTCCCTACTCCGGGCCGCCCCGCGCTGCCCGCGCTCACCCGCACGAAGACTACGACGGCCCGACGCTCCCGAAACAGCGCGCCGAACGGCACCTGCCTCCCGGAGGCGTCCAGCACGGGCAGCTCGGCTACCGCTGCGGCCAGGGGCTGCCCGCGCTCGGGGCCGCTCGGGACTGCGGCTGGGGCGGCGCTGCCGCTGACCTGCCGCGTAACCGGGGCGAGGGCGGGCTCGGCCACAGCGCCCTGCATCTGCCTGCCCGCGTCCGCGCCCACCGTGCCCAAGCGGACCGCACTGGTTAGACGAGCGGGGTCGAGGCCGAGCTGGGCGCACGGGGCGGGGCAATCCGGGAGGAGCACGGGGCGCAGGGCGGGGCGGAACGGAGGGCGGAGCGGGGCGGGACGCAGGGGGAGGAGCGGGGCGGGACGCAGGGGGCGGAGCTGCGTGCCACACAGAGCCAGAGCCCCTCTGGCTGAATCAGAAAACGGTCGCTACAGGCCGAGGCGAGCTTCGTCGCGGCGGGGCGGGGCGAAATGTGGGCGGGGCGCAACCCGGGAGGGGCGGAGCAGAATGCGGGTGGGGCGGGGCGCCACCCGGGAGGGGCGGGACGGAGCGCAGGGCGGAGCACAAGGAAAGGAGCCGCGCGGGGTTCGGTCCCGCGGGGCGCTCGGTCGGGGTGCTGGGAGACCGGGCTGTGCGGGGACTGGACGGGGCACACCCAGCCGCCCGGAGGTTAGGTTCCGCTGGTCGCGGTGCGCAGGCAAGCGCAAACCGCCCGCGCGTTTTCTGACTCAGCCTCCTAGGTAGGAAGAGGGAGACGGGTCCGAGGTGAGAAAAGGTTGTTTAGGAAGGAAGCAGGCCCTCCCTCCGTAGCTGCCTGGGCCCGTTACTTACCGATGATTCTACAGAAGCAGTTACCAACTTAAAGAATTTTCTACTCAGAACAACCAAATCAGTGATCCAGCAGATTTCTTGTATTTTACTTCTATTCTGTTTTTAACCCATCCCCTTCTTAGTTCTGGTGTTTTGTTTGAGGTAACATTAATATACAATGTAATGATCATATCTTACGTGTAGAATTAAGTTTTATTTATTTTTATTTTATTTTTTCAAGACTTTTTTTTCAGGGGGTGCAGGCTCTGGCTCTGGGTGGCACAATCGGTTAAGCACGTTGGACTCGGTTTTCGCTGAGGTCCTGATCTCAGAGTGGTGAGCTTGAGCCCCTCATCATCTCCCCCTGAGCACAGAGTCTTTTTAGGACTCTCGCTCCCTCTCCCTCTGCCTCTCCCACAGGAGCGTGTGAGCATTCTCTCTCTCTCAAATAAATAAATAAAATTTTAATTTAAAAAAGACTTTTGGGGGGGCACCAGGGTGGCTTAGTCGTTAGGCGTCTGTCTTCGGCTGAGATCATGATCTCAGGGTCCTGGGAATCAAGACCTCAGTAGGGCTCTCTGCTCAGGGGGTAGTCTGCTCCTCTCTCTCCCTCTGCACTTTCTCTCTCAAATAAATAAATAAAATCTTTTAAAAAAAGAAAAGACTTTTTTTTAAAAGTAGTCTCCACCCCCAGCACCACGCAGGGCTTGAACTCACCAACCCCAGACTTGAGCTGAAATCAAGAGTCAGAGGCTTGATTGAGCCACCCAGGAGCTCCAAGTTAAATTTTTAAAATAAATCTTGTGGCGCCTGGATGGCTCAGTTGGTTAAGCGACTGCCTTTGGCTCAGATCATGATCCCAGGGTCCTGAGATCAAGTCCCACATGGGCTCCCCCTACTCTGTGGGGAGTCGGCTTCTCCCACTGCCTTTGCCTGCCACTCCCCCTGCTTGTGCTCTCGAGCGAATGCTCTCTCTCTGTCAAATAAATAAATAAAATCTTTAAAAAAATAAATAAAATAAATCTTTAATTTTTAATTTAAAAATTTCTAACATTTTACTTTTTTATTTAAAAATTTTCTTTCCTCCTGAATTGGGAAATGATCAAAACATAAGTCATTACATAATTTGATGTATAATTATTAAACATAAAAAGCAAAATTATCTTTGACACTTATTTCTTAAGGACATGAATGGGCTTTTTCCCCCAATTCTTGTATCTGTGAATAAATATTACTCATTTTGCCAATAGAACTCTGCTCAGTATGAATGATGCCACTGTAAGGTTTAAAATACATGTCTCTTGATTTATGTTTATGCATTTCTGTTGAGTATACGCCCAGGAGAATAATGCATGGGTCATTGGATGTGCATTTTTTTTACCTTGATTAAGCAAGGAGTTTTTATTTTTCATTTTTATTTTTTATTAAATTTTTAATTTTAATTCCAGTACAGTTAACATACAGTGTTATATTAGTTTCAGGTGTACATATCATGGACATTTTAAAACATGCCCCCAAATTGAAAGAATTGTACAATGAATACTCCTGTATTGACCAGTTAGTTTCTACCGATAATTTCTACTCTGTCATTTTTCTATGCATTTTTCCACAGTTGAGTAAGTTTTTTTCTGATTTTCCACCTCTGTTATTCACACCCCTGTGAAAATATGGGACATTTTCATCACTGGAGAAAACTCCTTTAGTTCCACTCTGTGTGTGTGTGTGTGTGTGTGTGTGAGAGAGAGAGGGAGAGAGAGTAATTTAAATATTTTTGTATTAAGTCTTGGAACAAGGTGGGATTGCAGCAGTTTGTGGAATTATCACAGACAACAAAAAGCTAAGATGCATAATTTCAACCTCTTTGTGCAGGACAACCAAATTTTTTATTATTAATTTTTGTATTTGAGTGTTGTATTGGCACACAACGTTGCATTCGTTTCAGGTGTACAACAGAGTGATTCAACACGTTTAAACGTGCTATGTTCACCACAAGTGTAGCTCCATCTGTCACCATACAACACTATTATAATATCATTGACTCTATTCTGTATGCAGTACGTTTTATCCCTGTGACTTATTCATTTCATAGCTGGAAACCTGTATCTCCCACGCCCCTTCACCCATTTTGCTCATCTACTCCCTACCCCCTCTGGCAGCCATGAGTTTTTTCTCTGTGTTTACAGGTCTGATTCTGCTTTTTTATTTGCCTAATTGTTTTATTTTTTTTAGATTCCACATATGAATGAAATTATATGGTATTTGTCTTAGTCTTATTTCATTTAGCATAATACTCTTTAGGTGTGTTGTCATAAATGTCACGATCTCGTCCTTTTTTATGGCTGCATAATATTCCTGTGTGTGTCTGTGCGTGTGCGTGCAGGTGCACGCACACACACACACCTCATCTTCCTTATCCATTTGCCTATTGATGAGCTCTTAGGTTACTTCCAACCTCAGTTCCACTTCTGTTTTTTTTTTTTTTAAGATTTATTTATTTATTTTGGGGGGGAGAGGCAGAGGGAGAGGGAGAGAGAGAATTTCATGCAGACTCTCTGCTGAGCATGGACC